CGAAGTATACGAGGAAGTTTTATTAGTCGATTATATTCATCTCTATATTGTATTTATAAGTTTTAATCGTATTATATGGTTAAAGTTTTATTGTTTTTCATCTTGGTTGAATTGCGGCGGTCATCATCTAACTGGGAAAGGGATCAATCGGATATCAACTCTTTAATCATTCACATCATTAACTCATCTGAAGAAATTGTGGTTTCGTGGTTGTTAGATGGAAAGATAATTTAGAGAGGATTGTTTGAAGTAGAATATATCGTGCTGCATGTTCTTAGGCGACGAGGAGCTCTTAACAAAGAGAGCTGGCGAGTGCATCCTGCCTGGAGAGTGTCCGGCTCCGTGTACCTGCAACGGCGCCACTGTTGATTGCTCTAACAAGAAACTAACTTCTATACCGAAGGAACTGCCAATCTATACATCCACCTTGTGAGTATCGTCTTTTAACATGACAATTATAATAACATAACGGTATCATGAGTTATTAATACTATTTATAATTATCCTCCAAACATTTAACGCCATCTTGATCGAATTAAACGTCAAAATGGCGTATACAACTGAAATTGCTCCATTCTATGGAGAAAATAATAAATCATCACCCCACTTTGTAGTCCACTTAAAATATTAGTATTGATCAAAACCTACTTCAAATGAAAGTATAACATTTTCTCCCTATATTTTACTGTATTTAGTGTCGTCACAAAGCCATTTAAATCTTTTATGAAAAAAGTATTAAATTTCAGAAATATTATAGAACAACGTATAAACTTGACAAATCGACATGACATATTTGGTGCCATCACAAACTCACCTAAACATTTTATGGAGGAAGTATTAAATTTCAAACGTATTGCACAACAATATATAAACTTGACAAATTAACGAGACAAACTACAAATGACACGATTAACGTTCAACACGACGTACCCGTTAGCAGTCATTGTTTACAAGGGTGCAAAGCAATAAGACACCGAGGGGGTCGATCGATCGCTCATGATCGATCGAGACGAATCGTTCCCCCCGGCGCGCGAGGGAATTCAATCGGCCGACAAGATAATTATCCGATTAAAAGGCCGGATTGGCGGGGACGGGCGTAGCGGGGCTATTATTCGAAATAAATTATTCGAACCCGTTTAATAGACCGACGCCCCGTAGAGCGCGATTAATTGCTCGCCGGTAACGGACACGCCGACGACAGACACTAACTTTCTCGTCTCCCGGTTTTCTTTTGTCTCCACCCGCGACCAGACTGTTGGCCAACAACAAGCTGGATAAGATCAAAGCGGACGGCCTGTTCGAGAAGCTGCCCGAGCTGCAGCATTTGGACCTCAGGAAGAATAAAATCTCACGCATCGAGGCGTCGGCCTTTCAAGGAGCGTACAAGCTCACCGACCTGTAAGTTTTTTCTACGACCGACCACCACCATGCTCCACTTCTTCCCTTTTTGTTTTTGCTTCCGTCCGGTTCCTTTATTCGGGGGTTTCCGTTGTTTAGCCGCTCGACCAACGCACCACCGAGCTTAATCGCACGTACTTCACTGCGGCTCGGTTAATTGGACCGATCGATGCCCGTGGATTTCGTTTATTGCTTCCGGCGAGAATGTTTGGGGAAAATGCAGGAACCGGATAAGATTTCTGCTAGAGTAATTTGTTGGTGTAATATCTCTACTTTTACCGTTTAATCGTGAGATAATGCAGATTAATGTAGGGCACACGAACGTATAGGGTGGCTAGAACTTACGGATTTGATAACGTATCGGAAATTTGAGGGAAGAATTAAACGAAAAGGAAATTTTGTAGGGTTTTTAGATAGCGAAATAGGTTTCCTGTAACGATTGGTGTAATCTGGATCACTAGTGTATAAGGTAACTAAAAATTGGCGATTAAAGAATCTTGTCAGAATGATTAGGAAATTTAAAATAGAGCATCACAATTGTCAGATATTAATAGTGAAAGAAATTTTGTAAAGTTTTCAAGGGAGGAAACGAGCTTTCATGTTTAATTTATGTAAAATTAAAAATGAAACTTATTGCGTGAAGATCGTAAAAAGGATCATAAATTTAATAAAATATACGCCGTTTGTTTAACCGTCACAATTATTCCGGGGAATCGTACGGTTTCCGTAGTTTTGTTTTATCATGAAGGTGAATTCGCGTGAATTGTCTCTTGTTTTTAATGGAATGCTCCCCGCTGAGAAAGTTCGGAATAACACCGGCTGTATTCACTGGGTCGAGATTACTTGCGTTATTTGTGCCTCGCTCGATCGGGACTTTGAAACGAGCTTTAACGAAGCAGAATAGGATTTAATTTTCAAAGGCAATTAACGGGACAATGGGTCGATTAATTAGATAGTCGACGGGGCATGGGGGTGTTTGCCGTTGGCTCGCGCGTGTTTCGGCGCTGACGAGTGAACAGACTGATCCAGAATATTGTATACCGAAAAAAAACAAATTAAAGATCGAGCAGCTCCATCGACGAGTCGGCATTCCAGATGAAAGAATTCTTTGATCGTGTTTAACGAACTAATCTTACTTTTACTTTATTCAATTGATCAATATGAATCATCTGGTCCAAATAAAAAAGGATTAAGATATACGACACGATAAATTACAAAAGAATAAATTTTTTGCAGCTATAAAGATATCAGAGAAATTAATTTACTCGATTGTTGTGTAACGGAGAGTTTGAAATACGCGAGACATTACTCATTTTCGGTAACAAATGTATTGTTAGGGATATTAAACGAGTTACAGAAAAAAAACACTGCATTGATCTCGATCAAAAAGAACGCCGATGAATTATGTCGAGCACAGGACGAATAAACGTAGTCAATCATCCCCGAACATTAACAACTTTTATTTCCGAATAAAATTGAATCGTTTTAAATGACGCGGACGCATAAAACGGTAGAACGCTTCAACGTCAGCCCAAAACGCAACGGAGCATTCATCTTCCCGTTCCTCAACAATTTTCAGTATTTGATTCCGCTGTCAGCTGCAATTCATCGAAAACTCGTGCGGGTTGCATGCTTGTTGACAATAAACAACTCAAATTCGACTCGACGACATATAGATTGCCTCAAAACAATAGTGGCACAACTGCCGTTTTTTTGGTTCTCCAGGAAAAGAAGCTTCTGCAATGTGTTCTTTGATCAATTAAATTCTAATATTACAACGTTACCAGTATTATTGACTATCATTAATATCACTAATTCTAATATTACGATTTAATTAACTCAAGGACCTTTCAATCCTTGTTTCCCTGAAAACTGAGAAGGGTTAGACCACTATTATTGTGAACTACTCATACGAGTTTCGCCGTTTCTAATGACGCGCCGCCATCTTTTCTTCTTCTTTCTGCCCGCTTCTAATAATTCACCAACTTTATACACTTCGCCGAGTAACGACTGGTCGTTTCGCAGACTCCTGTCGGAGAACAGGCTGAGGGAAGTTCACAACAAGATGTTCACCGGCTTGACGAATCTTAAGACTCTGTGAGTAGAAACTTTTACGGCCCTTCATAAAACAGTATCATTGGGAGGACTATATCCTTCGAACTTCATTTTCGCAGGAACCTCCACGGGAACGCCGTTACCTGCGTTATGCAGGGCGCCTTCGATGGGCTGTCACACATACGCACCATGTGAGTAGTACATATCTGTTGTGGCAGCGCCTGCCATCTTGGATAGACAGATCTAGGCTTCGTTTTTCAATCGGGCTTCCTGCCACGTCGCTCGTGCACGTGTCACTGTTGTTTTGATATCCACCGTGTCACTTTCTGAACGAATGGTCACGTCCACGTCACTCATTCTTCGAGATATGCTAAGTAAACCTATATAGAGTAAAAGTCATATGAAATCATAAGAAGCCCGTTTGAAAAGGAATGAAAAGAAGCTACGTATGCTTGAAAAGTTTTGAAAGTGACCTAGAGAACTTGTTACTTTTATAGTTTTAAAAGATTATACAAGTGATTATACGAGTAGTTTTCTAATATGAATATATTTTCAATAAATACATTTATTGTAAAACGAAATTGTGCGAGTCGGTGAATGAATTACTCGATTGTACGGAATATCAGAAATTAGATAAACAAAATTTCATTACGGAAGAGGATAAAGCGTATTGCAAACTGAATATTTAATTGGTGTAATATTGCAATTTGTATTATAGTGCGATAAAATTTTATAACACCGTGCACATTGCAATAGTTACATCGCGGATGAATATTTAATTCCCGCAATATTGCACGGAGATTGTATAGGATGAGCTTCATTAATATTTATTATCGTGTTAATACACAAGTGCACTAACTTCCCTAACACGCTCCGGTAAAATATTTCCGGCTTCCGTGCGCATAATTAATGCCGGTTTAATAAATTGCCCCGCGTTTGCAGCAACATGCAAGGCAATCCTTTGTCGTGTAATTGTCATCTCGCGTGGTTCGCTGGATGGCTGAGGAAACGCGAAATGTCTGGTGTGGTCGGCCACTGTCACGATCCGCCGCGATTGAAGGACGCCGTTGTCAAGGATATTCCCCATCACGAGTTCAAATGCAATAGTAAGAACAATTCGTTATATCTTCTAAAATGATCAGATTGAAATCCGTTTCAATCGAAATTAGAGAGAACACTAAAATTTTGTACAAAATTCCTTTTAGCTGTTCCTAATGTTCACATCAAAACGAACTAAATATATTGAATGTTTCATTCAAGTTAATCGTCAGATTAATTTTCATAAATTTTCAATGCTACTGAAACTAGAAGATTGCATAGAATTTTCAATACTAAATGAATTATTTTTGCATATATTAAATAGAAATTCAATTTTATAATAAGTCATCATTTCAAAATCACTCTTTTATCGATTGAAACGAAATTCAATGTCTTTTGAATAAGCACACACTTGTACCCAAACTTAATTTCCTAAACTTCTCAATGATCCCGAAAACTTTAAAATATTTATTACAACAAATGTTGTTTAAATTGTACGTAATTTAACACAATTTATAGTAGAACAAACTTTTATCTAAAAAAATACAAAACTCAAATCGAAAACTATTAAGAAACCTCTGTTGTCGTGGAAATATCGTCATTAGTGGAGATTCGCGAAAAGTAACACCAGGTATCGAAAAACGGCGCGGAAACCGTTTCTTCCCGACGGTTCCCTTTGATCTTCCAAATCGATTCCGAGATTAACGGGCCGCCGTCCGTTTTACGAATCGCAGACGACAGCGTGGGTTGCCTAGGAGACGATTACTGTCCACCCCAATGTAATTGCGCCGGGTCAGTGGTGAGGTGTTCGAGGTCCCAGCTTACGGAGATTCCGCGCGGGATTCCGCCGGAAACCACCGAGCTGTATTTGGACGTGAACGACATCAAGACGATCCAGCCGGAGAGGCTGAACCACCTGAGGATTCTCACTAAACTGTAAATAAAACACACGTGCCATTTTGCGCAACCTTGTCTTTCCTTTTCCGGTCGATCGAACGTTGATAACGGTGTTCGCTCGGTTTCAGGGACCTGAGCAACAATCAGATCGGAATGCTGTCGAACGACACCTTCAGAAACCTCACCAAGCTGTCTCACCTGTAAGTTAATTTTGTTGAATACGTTTGTTGATTTTCTTTTTATAAATTTGCAGTATTGCTTCGTATAACTGGGTTCTTTTCGTTTATGAACAATAAGTTTGAACTATATTTTGATTATAACACCATGGAAACGTAATATAATAATATAATTTTTGTAATGAGCACTAATTTTGATTTTAAAATCGTGTGAAAGTGATAAAACTTGTATTGGATATACGAAATCTTGATACTGAAATGAATATATTATAATACTATGGTAACTAGTCGGTTAGTTATTAATATGGTGAATGTTTTGAACATATTCGTTTGCTGTGACATTTTCAGTTGAAATGAAATGTACGATTTTTTTATGAATTTTAGGAATACTCAATAATGCGTTGCTTTTGTGTTTGACAGTATAATCAGCTACAACAAACTGCAATGCATTCAACGCAACGCCCTCGCCGGCCTGAAATCATTGAGGATAATGTGAGTTTCGATTGCCACCGGTTATATCTCCTCGTAGACAATGCGTGAATTTACGTTATTATTTCGCGACACGATATTTCAATGAACGCAGCAAATTACGCGAGAAGGGTCAATGAAATACTAGAACAATGGCCGTGATTTTTAGCGCCGTCCCAGTGAATAACGTCACTCAGTATAGTTTGTTCAAAGAATAATTGATAATGGGACATGTGTTGAGGATCGATAGTAGCACGAACGGGATTGGCGATGGCGGGACAATCTGCGCCGAATTAACAAGCAATCGTGCTATTTTATCGCGTCGCAATGATCTACGATACACTAGGTCCGTTTCAATGATTGCGGTATTAAATTCACACGAACAATTTGAAGCGCAATCATCGCTAACGCGTTCGTTTAACGACACATTGGATTTACTTTGCCATCTCTAATCCGGAAGAATGCAAAGCTTCTGCCCGCCACATGTCATTTACCAGTATTTCAATTCATTTTCATTTCACTTCATGTGCAGTGAATAACAATACTTTTTTTTAATCTGCTCTCAGAAATCCAATTAACGTATTAAACATCGTACGATTTCATGAATCAAAATACACAAGATCAAATAAATATCAAATAAATGTATAACGAATTAAATAATCACATTATTTCATTGAGTTGTGTTATTATCGTACGTTTATCTCGCAGAACATCACATCATACCTTTAACTTACATGATTTATAACACAGAAAAATGTTGAAACGATAATCGTATAATTGAATGAATTATGATGATTTATTCGGGTGATCCCACCGTTCAACGTGTTAAACCTCTATCTCCCGTCACGAATTTTTTATTCATACATGATCAGCTCCTTCATCTCGTTTCCTCGGGCCGATCGATCGGCAATGCATAGTTTAACAGACGTTCTCGCGAAGAAGGTCCCTTCATCATCGGTTCGTTCGGTGGTGGTCATATAAAATTCCGATTCCCGGCAGGTCTCTGCACGGCAACAACATATCGGTGATCCCGGAGGGCGCGTTCGAGGATCTTCAATCTATAACCCACCTGTGAGTATCCGCGGATCGTTTCGAGACGCATGCCGTCCCTACGTCCGTCGATAATTCACGAGCCCGTTGTTGTTTACAGCGCTCTGGGGTCCAACCCTCTCTACTGCGACTGCAGTATGCGCTGGTTGGCCGAGTGGGTGAAGAAGGATTTCCTGGAGGCTGGGATCGCCAAGTGCACCGAGCCACCGGCGATGATGGACAAGCTGCTGCTGTCCACGCCGGCAGCCGCGTTCCAATGTAAAAGTAAGTATTCCCAGTTGAAACAACGCGATCGTGGCCACGGCGGCTGGTTTTGAAGCTCGCGGTACACGTTGGAGCATACGGAGATGCGGGCATCGCCGCAAGCGATGGGTTTGAGGCTCTTTCACTTTTTCATTGAGTGTAATATGTATCATAAAATATTAGGAGATTCGAATGTAACACTTGTAACGACGCCATCGCTGCAAGTGATGGGCTTGAGACTTTTTCACTTTTTAATTGAGTGCAACATGTATTTAATATATCAGGGGACTCAAACCTAACACTTGCGACGATGCCATCGCTGCATGCTGCAATATGTTTGTGAGCCTTTAGAGTGAACGATAGAGGATCGCTCGCGTTGACTTGATCATACTGATTGCTGTTGACGGTACAGAGTGTCTCGGGATTGAGCTTCTGAATTGCAGATGTCGATTAACCGAGTCACTGTTTTCTGTGATTTATTAGATGCGCTGAAGTGTCTCATTGTTTTACTTTTCGATGTGGCGTTTGTATTGTAAGGTAGAAATGAATATTGTAAATAAGTACATTGAAAGCAATAGGTTTTGGCGTAAGCTTTTGAACGTCATTTAGAAGTAAGATGAGTAATGGATCGTTCAGAGTCTTCATCATTTTGCAAATATGGTTTGATAAATGTCTTCTTGGAATCTCCATTTATCTAGGCTCTACTGTATAATTAAAAGAGAATTTTTGCGCTAATCTTTGTGGAAACTAGGTGCAATGTAGTTTTTAAAAAATTATCTGACATGTGTTTCTTTTTTATTGATCACTGTGCATGCAGGAAACTGTTGTTAAAGTTGTAAGAAGAGAGAGGTAGGAGTAGAATAATTTAGCTTTGGATTCCTTCTGACGAGACACTTTGTATATTTTGTTCAAATGAATTATTTAATACTAACATATGAGATGACGTAATTGTTTGTGTTATCAAATGCTTCGAATCGTAGAAACTTGTGAAAAATGAGGCGAGATATCCTCTATCAATCTTCAGTGTACGTGATATCTTAGTAGCATAACTAAATTACTGATATTTCTACATTACTTCTCTATACAATCATTTGCAAGATCTGGAACTAACGCGAAAACGATTGTACAAACTCGATTATCCCCTTGCCGTATAACTAGGACTATTAGAACAGTTCAACGAAGATCAATATTATTTGTTGTACAACAAGTGGTTGACCTTTACTTAAATGTCCACTAGACACCTTAAAAACCAACTATACGGTAAAAGAAATTCTAAAATTTCATAAATATATGAATGAACTTTGAAAAACCGGCCGCTGTCGCTGACCGATCGCCATTACCGCCGCACGCGCGCAGATGTTTTTAATTTTCTCACTGGCCCGTGACGCAGTCTTGTTTAGTTCATGGTTTTTTGGCCCGTACGTCACAATGGGGTACTAAAATTGCTCATTAATCGTAGACCTTTCTTCCGCGCAGCCAGCCAACAGCCAGCCGAAGTCCTGGCCAAGTGCGACCTGTGCTACACCTCGCCATGCCAGAACGGAGGATTTTGCGAGGCGCTCCCGGATCGGAAATTCCGTTGCAAGTGCGCGCCAGGATATCATGGGGACCGGTGCGGACATAAAATTGACGCGTGCTATGGAAATCCTTGCCGGAACACCGGAACTTGTAAAGTATTGGAAGAAGGAAGATTCAGGTACAAAATCTGCGTTTCGAGCAACCTATTAGCCAGCTCGTTCGGGTCTGATCTACAGTTGCTCGTTCAGTGGTGCCCGTAGTAGCTGCGCCTGCGACAGGCTCGTATTTTTTTTTAGAAAGCATTCGTGTATCTTCATACTTTTAATCCTTATGTCAGCAATCATTCTATCATCTCAGTTGAATTATTTTAATTAGCTAATCATATAATTGTCTACAGAATTCTTTACGTCTTCGTAAAACAATTTCAATGTAATTTAATTGTTTGTATTATATAGATCATTCGTCATTGTGGAAAGGTAACATTCTTTCGAATCTTTATTTCTTGAAGACTTCAACGTCAATTTGTAATGAAAATAAAGAAATGTATATAATAATGTTGAAATTAATAGAAATACAGAAGTTTAAACGAATATAAATATCTCGGTTGCTAACGTAAGGGTTAAATGGTAATTTTGTAAGAAATATTTTATGTTGCTCGGTTGAATAATTGGGAATTGGAAATTTCTATTACCATTCTGTCGATTGAGTGAGTAGAGGTTTCCAATTGTATTAGAGGCCTGTCGCAGGCAACGGATCACGAGTTTGCATTCACTGTAGAATCCCTCGTACGTGGGATACACAGTAGCATTGGTCGATAATTGAGTAGACGTGCACGAATAACTCAATTGTATTCAATGTAAATAAATGTCGATGGATAAACGGTAGCGTTGCATTGTAAATCTTCAGGAGAATTGGAATTTGCGTTGTTGACTGGAAATTTGATTCGGTGAAATTAATTGTACATAGTAGTTCCAGTCAATGATTGTTCGTGCGTCGAGCAAGAATGTGCTGTGAAAAGTATAAAACATATTTGCACTGTACGAAGAAACAGTTGAACGTGTTGATGAGTAGATTATAGATCGTAGTATCAGTAGGATTGAGTCTCTTGAATGAAAACGATAACGGGACCCCTGCACGTGAGGCCCGAAGAGTAGCAGCTACGCGTGACCATTTATCGACGAAACAGCTGTGATTAATAATTTCTAATAAATAATCTGTAAATGTAATCTGTTTGAACATCAATCTGATAAGATGAGTAGCATGTAAATCAATGTTATCAGAGTCTAATGATCATCAGTGGAATATTAAAACTGGAATACGAGTTTTTGAATTTCAAAGAAAACGATAACGGTAATTCTGGTGGAATTCGTGAAGGAAACGTAAAGAATCGATCAGTTTGAGAAATAGAATCAGTCGATAAATTGTTTACGTATGGCGATATCGATTGGCGGATAGACCGCGATCGAAGCTCACGGTCAATGTCTCGATTGACGATCAGTCGGTGTGTGACAGTTGCGACTGCGCCCCCGGGTACAAGGGACTTCGGTGCGAGAACAACGTCGACGACTGCGAGAACAACAAATGCGCCAATAACGCGACCTGCGTCGACCTCATCCAGGCCTACAGATGCGACTGCGCACCAGGATTCATGGGCGAGTACTGCGAGGAGAAAATACCCTTTTGCACAAAAGGGCACGACCCCTGCGAGAACGGGGGCCGATGCGTCGACCACGGGACCCACTATAGCTGCGAATGCCCAATCGGCTTCACCGGCCTTAATTGTTCCACCAACCTGGATGACTGCGTTGATCATATGTGCCAGGTACCATTTTTCAACTTACCTTCGTTTACCTTTGCGTACTGACAATTTTTTAAAAATTCCAATATCTAATGATAATTTAATATCTCACACTAATAACTTCTGTAGCAAATGTAATGTAACACGAAATTACATTTCATTACATGGAACTTTATATTTTAACTCTTTGCACTCGGAAGCTTTTCACTAGAAACATTCGATACTTTCCGATGAGACGTAGACGACATTATCTGAAACCAAATAATGAAAGAACATACGTAAATTAAGAAACAAGGCTATTTTATATAAATATTTCACCCATTGATGCAATATACAACATTGAATGTTATATATAATACTTTGTAATTTTGTTATATCAAATCAAATGGTGACTGAGTCACCTCTCGAGTGCAAAGGGTTAATTAATGCAATGTATTAAAAATATATGTTACTAAGATATTCGTATCGAAATAATATTTGTTTATTCCTGTATTTTTCAGAACGGTGCTACTTGCATCGACGGCATAAACAATTATGTGTGTAAGTGCGCGGCGGAATACACTGGGAGGTACTGCGAAGCAGCACCCTCGACAGTCATGCTCTATCCGCAGACTAGTCCTTGTGCACATCATGACTGTCAGCACGGTGCATGCTTCCAGCCAGCTCCCGCATCCGCCGCGGACTATCTTTGCCAGTGCCACCCCGGCTACACCGGTAATTAACTAATTACTCTTGATCAGTTTTTCACTAGCAATAGCAATTGTAATCGGGAAACAATAAATCTTCTTAAGTAACATAGCAAACCAATATTTTTAAACGTTATTAATTAAAAGAGAAGCATCTGTTAAAATTCATTTCAATATAGCACGAGCTTTAACTGCCAAACGAGTGAAAATCACCCATCCGAAAATTTCCGTTTTACAATTATAGAAATTATGAAAATACTTCTATGCAAAATTATGAAATAAATTTGAATATTTCTACGGGTACAACGATAAAAAACAGTTCAAATCTCAAGAAATAAACTTCTTTAATTGTTTAAAGAAATCAGCAAAAAATCAAACATTAACACGTTCGCTATCAGTATTCGTTTCAGTGGTGGTCCTCTCAATTATAATATTTTATTCGTTCAATAAATCTTCTAAACAAACTATTGAAGCAAATGATGCTAAACCGAGTCATTGAATCCCTAAATGTAATTTCGTAGCTTATTACTTTAACTAAATATATCTATAGGATTAATTTCATTTTCTTTATATAAAATATAGGATTGCGGCCGTCACGAATATGTGACACTGGTAGCGAACGTGTTAAGTAGTTCTAGCGTTAAAGAATTTATTAATATACATCCGATAAGTAAAATATTGAAGGAAACAATACAACTGACATGCAATAATGTCCAGTGAACAGTGAACAACAAGAGATAATATTTCCAGGAAAACGATGCGAGTACCTGACGAGTTTGAGCTTCGTGGACAACAGCTCGCTGGTCGAGCTGGAGCCGCTACGCACGAGGCCCGAAGCGAACGTGACCATCGTCTTCACGACCATGCAGGAAAACGGGGTTCTCCTCTACAACGGCCAGAACGGCGACCACATCGCGGTCGAGCTGTTCAACGGCCGTGTACGCGTCTCGTACGACGTGGGCAATTATCCCACATCGACAATGTACAGTTACGAAATGGTGGCCGACGGCAAACCCCACATCGCTGAGCTTCTCGCGATCAAGAAGAACTTCACGATGAGGGTGGACCGCGGCCCTGCTAGGAGCATCATCAACGAGGGTCCGAAGGAATATCTGAAATTGAGTACCCCGATGTACGTCGCAGGCGTCGCGCCTGAAGTCGCTAGCATCGCGTTCACGGAATTCCACTTGAGAAATATAACGAGCTTCCAAGGTCAGTTTTTCATTTGTTTATAACATTTACCAATGGAAAGTTAGAGAATGAGTTTAAATAAAATGAAGTTTTCTACTTAGATTCTAATGTAGCAATGTGAAAATTATAGTATTTATAATATTAGTAGGAGATTAGAGATGTGCGGATATTGGGCAATGAGTTTTAATGGAATAAGTTCTTAATTTAGATTCAAATGTAACAGTATAAAAATTGTAGTATTTATAATATTCGTTAGTAGAAGATTAGAGATGTGCAGATATTGGGCAATAAGTTTAAATAATTATTATTAATCGTATTTAATTTTTATAAAACAAATTTCAATATCAAATGAAAATAGATATTTTAAAATTTCTTCTCTGAGGTATTTCTCCTTATTATCAACATTTTCTGATAGACGGCGTTATTTACTGTTTATCAGGCTGCATCTCCGAGATGTGGATCAATCATAAGTTAGTGGACTTCAGTAACGCCGCGAAAATGCACCGAGTCACTCCCGGATGCATGTCGAACGAGGAAGAGGCTGACGAGGCGCGAGACGTCGTCGAGCCGGAAGGCATCATGAGCAACAGCGGCAGCAACGAGGAAGCTCTACCGGAAGACAACATGGCACATGAACATTCCGGTACGTGTCTATTAATTTTCTCCAGAACAACTAAGCCAAGTACATGGAAATTTCACTGAAAATGTATTATATTACGAAACTAATTGTAACCTATATAATTTGAACTAAGAGGTTCACTGTTCCAACTAATTATTCCACAACTGAGGAAATAATATACTACATTGCTTAAAATTTAATGAATCTAATACACAGTTTTCTAATTTACATATTAATAAACTCCTAAAGTAGCCTCATTCCTTAATTATCAATCACTTCAATTTCTGATCTTCCAGTGATTCATTTCAAGCTAGAAAATTAATTGAAACGATATTAATTACAGACATCGTCATGACACTGCCAGGCACGTTAATTTCCGATCCTTGCACTGGCCACGAGTGTAGAAAGGGCTCGCAATGCGTGCCTTCGCCGATCGGGAATGGCTACACGTGCCGGTGTCAGACTGGATGGCAAGGACGATACTGCGAAAAAGGTACATTAATCTTTGCTATTTATTTACGCTGTTTCGCGATTTACATGAATGAGTAAGCAGTGAATCGAGACGTTTACTACGGCTGTTGTTTAAATTGCAGCACCGACGTGTCGCAAAGAACACACCAGAGAGTTCTACAGCGAAAACGGATGTCGGAGTAGACGACCGGTAAAGCTTGCCAAGTGTTGGGGTAGCTGCGGTAACTCCTGCTGCCTGCCACGAAAAACAAAACGACGCAAGGTACGATTCTCTTCTACGAAATGTATACGCATGTCCACTCAATTATTCATTATCATATCGCTGCACTTTTGATACATACCACTGAAACTTACTGTATTGCTCTTATATTTACATAGTACGCAGTTTTCGTGGCAATACGACCAATAAAGTAATTAATACTAAACCAATTTTGTCCAGGACATCAGACTGCTTAATAAATATTTCTTTCAATCGATTTTCGAAGACTAACAATAAGAGACACGGTTTTAAACAATACGTTAAATCCTTCGTATTCCGAGTCATTTCTACTATGGGCTAGCAGCTACTCTGGAAGTATTTACGGTGACGCGAGATCGTGTTTCATCATTGAAAGAAAAAAGACATATACATTTTAATGTTATGTTTTATTAATACAGTTACAATATAACAAATAGAACAATACGACAAACCATTTATAGAAAACAACATTGTTTCTAGATGTTGCCGCGCCGTGTCGCCGTGGGCGACAACAGAGTGCAAAGGGTTAAATTTCAAAATATAACATTTGTTTCAATACGTTTAGCTTCTATTCATTATTAGAATATTCCGTGACTGTTTGACTAAAACAGAACTATAATAAAAAATTATGCTAATATTATATCTGATTCCAACAAATATTTAAAACACCTAAATCATCCACGTTTCTCATCTTCTGTGCATCGTTCAAACAAAACTTCACACAAAGCTATAAACATATTTCCGTATCATTGCCAATGACAATTCCGTTATAATTCACCGCAGGTTCGACTGATCTGCGCTAACGGGATGCGGTACACGAAGGACGTGGACCTGGTGCGCAAGTGTACGTGCACCCGGAAATGCTACTAGCAAGGGCCGAAGGTGCAGCCACAGGTGTTCCATAAATATTCGTCGAAAACGTATCGAGACCGAGAGGAAGAAACCCCGCCCCCTTTCTAGAACCGAGCGAGTGACCCAATTACGAACTTTCCACGGAGAGACCACGAGTGATGTGCCCACGGGACTTAATCAACGGAAAACAGCCGGATTAGATTAGAAAACGCAGCCCACGCGACGCATCCTCGTGGTAGCGCGCTTTCGAAAGCGTTGGGTCTCGCCGCCGCATGCCGAGATCCAAGATGGACACACACTCGCAACAATACACGCGTTAAACGAACACGAAACACAAGTATAGACACTCGAAACAAATGGCAGACATTCGTACACACACACACACAGTCACACACACGAAAAGCACACTCAGCAGACAGAGACACGCGCGCGCGCGCGTGCGCACACACAGACACACAGCCGGCTCAGTGTGATATATATATTCGGACGTGGAGAAAGAATTATTATTATTAATTATAATCGTGCGTATGTGGACTTTACTCGGTATTTGGAAACAGTTTCACCGCATACATAGGTATTATTAATCGTGTACGAAGGGGAAGACGAAGGAACGTTAGGATTAATGATAAAGAAACTTGTTTGGTTTTCGTTCTCGCGCACGATGAACCACATCACACTCACACACACGCAGATAATGTCGTTCGCTCAGTGTGAAATAGATCTAATGAATGACTAAGTGGTACTGGTGGATGCAGCATGATCGGGTGTATGGATTTCAAATGAAAGAGTTCCCGCTTGATATCGCGATCTCTCAGAATTCCTTTATGTTGTGACGATTGCTCTCGAACGAAGCTTTCGAGATGAATTGTAGACATTTGTTCGATGTAGGGCGTTCCTTGATCGAGAGCGAGGTTTTCACCTGAATGCGTTGGGATTTCTGCGTTAGCTGCGCTGGTGGATTGACTTGAAGTCGGAGCGAAGTAATATAGTAATTAAAAGCGAAGCGAGCTAGAATTAAATCGAATCATTTTTATACTGTATTCTGCATTGACATGCAACATATGCGACAAATTTAGAAACCTTTTGGGAGTGTATTATTGGCGGCCATATTGGACATTTATGGTAACCGTATTTTGAAGGTAATAGGTGCTTTATAAAACCTTTATATTCGATAACGTCGATCACTTTCGTCTTGAATAAATATTGATGTAAGATACTTTTGTCTGAATTATGTTTTTTAAAGATTGTATTATACTTTGAAATGTAGTTTATCATCGTGAACGCGAAAGGAAGGTATAAAATCGACAAATAAAATAATTTAATTACTCGAGAGTGTAATGTAGACTTATAAAATATTTGATATGGTGTAACGCAGGTGGAATTTATCAGCTAAAGATTTCGGAACGCCCTGTGCAAAAGAATTCGACTGAATCACAGCACTCTTCTTTGAAGCGTCGGAAAGTTTTACCTTGAACCGTGGAAAAGCAAATCTGAGAGGTCGAAAACCAATCGCATTAGGAACTACCATCGGATTATTAATAAACGCTTCACTAGTAAGCCGAGCTTCGTGCAACTGTATTTTTCCGAATCTGTCGCATGCGCGCGGCACTCGAACGCCACTGCGATTCGCAATTTCATTGTAACTCGGTCACGGCGAGATCGAAGTGTCGCGCGAATAATTATCACTAGACTGTGGAGATTCATGCAAACATGAAAATGATCTTATAAAAATGTAAAAAAAGAAATGAATATTTAATTTTTAATAAAATTTCATTCTCTTTATATGTAGTTCCAATAAATTTGATATTCATATGGTTTATGAGGTTTCATTGAAATTGGTATTTTATAATTCTATCAAAGAGTTCTGATACGTTGCGAATGCATGAATTTCCACAGTCGGATTATCACGTAAGTATTAAAACTGTGTATAGAAGGAGTTTCACGTTTCATCAAGAAACATGTTTCCAGTTAATCGTGGTGTTCGACGGGGCTGTTAGGTCTATTGTCCTCTGAGTAAACGTTCGTACGAACACGTTCCCGGCACAGGAGGCTGTTGCGTACGGAAACCGGAAAAGCGGCCGATATCTCACCGATAATGAAAGGGTTTCATTCATCTATCGTTTAAGGAACGTTTCTTTCTATTTAATCTGTCGGTTACTGTCGTTAATTTAAATGGTTAAAGAGAGAAGCGTGCATTTGAAAAGACACTGCCAACCTTTCTTGTCCTGTTCACGCGTTTCGTTGTAATACTAGATCGAAAAACGGAAATAGAGTAGACTTCCAGGTGTTCGGACCTCTAGGAAGTATCATTTACGAGTTGTAAATTAGATTAGATTATTCGCGTATGTCGATGAAATACTTCGTCGGGGAAAATGTACGGAGAAATAAATGAAAATTTGAAAATTTCCAAGTAAATATAATTCGTTGGTACAGCACTGGATAAAAGGAAGTCTACTGCGATTAATAAATGTTTCTGCACTAAAGTAACTCTCCCGTGAAATGATTAAACGAAAATGAAACGTTCGGGATTCGTCTTGCGCGGCAGGACGCTCTAAAATGGCGAACACGGGCGTACCGAGATGCGAAAGGCTGAAGGACTCTCATCGCGGAGCCTTGAATCTTTTCATTCCA